GAGCTCTCCGGGCCTCCGCGGGCCCTGGGGCCGTCAACCGGGGGGACGGCCCCCTAGTTCCAGGGCCCGTTTCCCTCATGACCCGCTTTCTCTTCATGCCATCCTAGGAGGAGGAGGAGGAGGAGGAGGAGGAGGAGGAGGAGGAGGAGGAGGAGGAGGAGGAGGGAGGAGGAGGAGGAGGAGGACGAGGAGGAGGAGGAGGAGGAGGAGGAGGAGGAAGCTGGGCCCCAGGCCTGGGGCCAGGTGCCAGGTGCTGTCGAGAGCTCTGGGGCCCTGTTCCGCACGGCGTCGGTGGGCCCCCGTCCTCGTCCGACCCCCGTAAGGGCCAGCGGCAGCGCCGTGTGTGTTTCTGCAAGCCCAGGCACACAGGAAGCATGAGTCTTGCAAACAGGAGCATGCAGGAGCATGAGTCTCGCAAGCAGGAGCAAACAGGAGCATCAGTTTTGCAACAGGAGTTTTGCATACATGAGTCCTGTAAGCAGGAGGCGTCTGGCCCAACAGGAAGTAGGAGTCTTGCAAACGGCTGCAGCTGGTCGGAGCCACGAGCGGCGCAATCACTGCAGAGACATAAGCAAAGCAGGAATCCCGATGCGATATGCGTAGGGGCAGGGAACAGCAGAGGAAAAGCAGAAGAGTTACGGGAAACGCATGCGCCGCCATAGAATTTGCGCCATTGCGCATGCGGGGAGCATTGTAGTCCCTCGGAGCACGAGTTGACTTGAAGACCCCTGGGCGTCACCCGAGCGCCTGAGACTTCAATATGATTGGTTTCATTCCACCCGTTTAGTGCAGCAAAAGTTTGACCGCCGGGAAAACAAGCTCATGGCCTGTTGCATTCCCCTGGGTTTTTTTACGAGCTCGTCGACAGCAGTTCGAGCACCCTACTTGTTGCAGGTACTCTGGACCCCCTCGTCCTCACCCTCCTGGTGCTCCCTGCTCTTCACTCCTCATCCCACATCCCAAGAATAACAGATATGGCAGGGAAGTCATCGCAAGCGCTTTCCAAACAAAGGGCACAACATATACAACTTCTCTACGCCCGCAGAGCCGATTCCTGGAGGGCCGCCGTAATCCCGGCCCCTCTCCGGCTGCTTTCGGGTGATGACTCGGGCCTCAGGCGACCATCCGGGACGATTCTGGCATCCTTGGAACGCCCGTGACGGGGCGCACCCGATGGGAATTCGGAAAAGCCCCCTCGTTGGGCGTCGCCGCTGCCGCTCCTGCGTGCGTCGCCCTTCGCGCGACACCTGGAGCTCACGAGCGCACCCCTGGGGGACCAGCTGCTCGTCCGTGGGCCGCCCTGCATTGTCCCAGGGCCCACACGGGCCTCCAGAGGCTCCAGAAACGGCCATCCGAGCTGCACCTGGCTTGTTCCAGCCCTGGCGCCAGAGTGGGGAGGAGGAAGAGGAGGAGGAGGAGGAAGGAGGAGGAGGAGGAGGAAGGAGGGTGGGAGGAGGAAGGAGGAACCAGGATTGATCAATGGCGAATGAATCACCCGGACACCCATAGGTGGCGCCCATCGGGTTGCCATGCGCCTTCATTACTCAGCCCTTCCTGTTTGGAGTCTTCCTTCGGTGCGCTTTCGAAAGGGCTTTGCTTGCAGGGGTGCGCGTGATTTGAGTAAGGCCGAGGGTCAGAGGAACTTCCTCTGCAGGACCACCAAGCAAGGGACGTCAAGGTGGTCAAACGCCTCGCCGGTGAAGCCGACGAAGATGTGCACAGTCCAACCATTCGCCTGTGTCCACAGTGTTGGCTTGATGCTGGGTGTGATGCAACAGTTCAGCTTGATCGAAAATGTTGGTTGCGCCCCTTGACGTCCGTTTGGGTATTCTGCAGACAGGACCCCCCAGCCCTACTCAACGCATGATGAAGGTGGTTCTTTCGCCCTCTGCTGAGAATATCTGGCGCCCATCGTGCCCCAGTTCTGCTCACTCGTGCCCGTGTGCCTCCTCGTCCCTGCAGCTCCGCTCGGCTCGGTCTGGTGCCCAGCAGGTGCCCTCTCTTGGAACAGTGCAGGGTCCGCCTCGGGTTCCTCCGATTACCGTCGCTTACTGTCGGACCGAGGTCCAAGATCCAGGTCGGTTGGGTGAGGGTGTCCTGGTGTTCTTCGTCTTTGTTGGATGTTATTGTGCACCCTGGGGAGGGCGCCCTTGGATGTTATGTGTGTCTTTGCCGGCGGAGGGTCTCATGCTCTTGAGGGATCTTCTTCTGGCCGAGGTCGGGCTGTATTCAGGAGGAAAAGAAACACACAGACACAATTAATCCTCGATTCCCAAGAAAATATAGGAAAATATGGGAAGTGGGGGGAAGACAGAAACCCAGAAAATATGAGAAAATATGGGGACTATTTTTATTTGTGTGTATTTGTTTGTGTGTCCTGGGGCCCCTTCATGTATTCGATTTCCTGCGGGCAAGATTTGTGTCTGTCTACGTTGCGCCTTCGACTCCCTGGGAAGGGGCGCCAAGAGGCCGAGGCGCAGTGAATATGGACAATCATCGAGCCTCTAGAGACCAGCTTCTTTTACATAACCTCAAAGGATTTCTTGTTTTAGACCCCCCCACACCAATCTCTCGGCGGTGAATATCACTTGTCTCAATACCTCCTCGTCAAGGCTGCAGCGGAGATGACTTCCCATCTACTGTTGGGCGGGCTGGGGAATGCTTGGCGGTTATTTCTCCAGCGGGATAACCCATTGTGTGCTACTTTGCACGCGGGATAACTGTTTGGCATCTTCTCATGGTGATTGCAATAGGAGTTGCTTCGTTCTGGTTTGCGAATTTGCTCAAACTCGTTTGTCGGGCACTGCTGGCAAAACTCCTGCTGGCGCCTGGTCGGCGCGCGCTGCCACGTGGGATAAGTGTCCCTCCATTGTTGGGCGGGCTGGGTACTGTTCGGGGGGTGCTTCTCAAGCGGATTACTGAATTGTGGGCTACCCTGAACGCGGGAGGATTTGTAAGCATTTGCTCATGAGGATTGCATTTGGAATTGCTTCGATGTTGTTCGCGAGTTTGCTCGAAGCCGTCTGCCTAGCACTGCTTGCGAAACTCCTGCAGGCGCCTGGTCGGCGCGCGCGGCGATGCGGGATCAGTTCCTTTCTATTGTTGGGGTGGTTGGGTCATCTTTGGGGCTTATTTCTCCAACGGAATAAGCCATTGTGGGCTACCGTCCCTGCGCGCGGGAGGATGTGTGAGCATCTTCTCATGAGGGCTGCAATGCAAATGGGCTTCATTGTGGTTGTGCGAGTTTCCTCAAACAGCGCCTGCCTGGCGCTGTCGGTCGAACACTCCTGCTGGCGCCCGGTCGGCGCCCCGCGGCGGCATGGGAATCGTTTCCTTCTATTGTTGGGAGAGTTGGGGGCATGTTTGGGATAATCCATTTTGGGCTACCCTGCACGAGGGAGGATTTTGAGCATCTTCTCGCGAATGTTGCAGTAGGAGTTGCTTCGCTCTGATTCACGAGTATGCTCGACGTCGTGTGCCTAGCATTGCTGGCAGAACTCCTGTTTGCGCCTGGTCGTCGCGCGCTGCAGCGTGGGATAAGTTCCCCTCTGTTTTCGGTCGGGCTGGGTACTGTTCGGGGGGTACTTCTCCAGCGGATTACTGAATTGTGGGCTAGCCTGAATTGTGTGCATGAGAGATTGCTTCGGTTTTGTTCGCGAGTTTGCTCGAAGTCGTTTACCTAGCGCTGCGTGCGGAACCCCTGCTGGCGCCTGGTCGGCGCGCGCGGCCAACATGACAACATTCCCAGTGTGGACAATACAGACTTCGCCATCGTTTCGTATTGCCCCCGCGAGAGAGGATGGATTTTCTGAGGCCCGCGCGGGGCCTGAGCTTCAACAGTCCGTCCCAGGGTGGAGCTTTCAGGACACATTTTCTGAGCGCCGGGTGTCTGAACCAGGACTTTCGAAGAGAGCGCCGCCGGCGGGCGCCGCGGGGAAAACACAAATAGTTCTCGTAGAATGGTGGGGCACCGGTCCGTCCATGAGGCCGCCAGACAAATCTTTAATTTCACTTGTTCGGGGGGGGGTTCTAAAGACCCTGCAAGGTTATTCAGTGCGGCTCTGGTTTCTGGGGAAGGTAGCCCGAAACTCTACGATGCAGTGGATATGGCTGCAAATTTCGCCCGCATCCCCATCCCCATCCCCATCCCGACCCCCACCACCCCACCAGCCCAGTTGAAGAGATATGGCCTTGCAAATTCGAAGGGGACCTCCTACATCCCCATCCAGGGGGTAGATCTGCCAGTGGGGCCCAGCCCACGCCCGTGGGGCTAGGGATCGGTTAAACGAAACGCCCAGCAACCTCCTCGACCCTCGAGCATCTAGCTTCAATCCTGTACGCTGCAGAACTGCGTCGTCGGAGGAGAGGGGAGGCCCAAACAGGGCCAAAGGCGCCCCACAACCTCTTCGACCCTCGAGCATCCAGCCCCGATCCTGCACGCTGCAGAGCTGCCACGTCGGAGGAGAGGGGAGGCCCAGGCCGGGCCAAAGACGCTCAGCCACTTCCACCAGCCTCGAGCCTCCCAGATCCCCGACGTCATGCTCCGGTTCACCGCGTGGGCCCCAAACGGTCTGGACCCCTGCCCCAGGGCCGGCTTCTCGTCCTGCGTCGTTCCCTTTCGGCCCGGAGGCCCAGCGAGGGCCCAGCAAGGGCCCCGAGGGCCCCGAGGCCCCGAAGACAAGGGGAAGACGTAACGCCTGATTTTTTCAGCCACGCGCAGAGGGGGGTGGGGGGAGGGGGGAGGGCTTCTTAGAAGCACCCCTGCTTCTTAGAAGGCGCGGGCCTCATCTACATATGTGAGGCAGGCGCCTTCTAAGAAGCAGCCTCCTTCTAAGAAGCCGTCCCCCCTCCCTCCACCCCCTTGTGCGCGCCGCCAATTTTTCTCATGGCCCGAGGAGGGCCTGGGCCCAGCCCTGCCGGCCGCAGCCCTGGCTTCCACCGCCCCCCGACCCGCGTGGGCCTGCGCCGCCCCCCCGGCCTGCGCTCCTCCCGGGCACCAGGCCGCCCCGACGGCAGAGCAGCAGCACGACTTCCTCGACGCCGCCAAGGAGGGGCGCCCGCCGCCGCCCCGAGACTCTACAGGGCTTCCAAGGCGGCCCAGGAAGGCCACCTTGTTCCTCCTCCTTCTCCTCCTCCTCCTCCTCCTCCTCCTCCTCCTGCTCGTCCTGCTCGTCCTCCTCCTCATCCTCCTCCTCCTGCTCGTCCTCGTCCTCCTTCTGGGCGTGGAGGGCGCAACGCCGCCAGTGGCGCGGAATCGGCGGACAGCGCCGTTTCTCCGGGGGGCCTCGAGACGGGGGTCCCAGGCGAGCGAGGGTCAGCCTAAGCGCCGGAAGCCGCAGGATCCTGCAGAGCCAGCGCCCTTGCACTGACCCCGGTCAGTGCGTCCTCGTCCTTTCCCATCCCCGCCGGGGGGCGCCACGCTCCTTGCGCTGCGCGACCCTCCCGAGGGCCGGGGTTAGGGGCATGCCGCCGGCAGCCCAGGCCCGTGGAGGCGCGTCAGGCTGTGGGCCACGGCAGCCAGAGACTCCAGGGGGCCCGATGCAGTTCCCCAGCGGCTTTCCCGTTCACTGGTCGACTGGACGTAAGAGTGACCTGTCGCTGGAGTGCGGATTTCCCGTGCTCTGGTCGACTGGACGTAAGAGTGACCTGTCGCTGGAGTGACCTTTGGTGCGGGCACAGATGGGCCCCCAGACGGCTGAAGACGAAGCAGGAGCAGAGGCTTGCGCGCCCGGGTGGAGTCCCCCCGCGGCCCCCCAAAAGTTGCGCACCAGAGGCCACTCTTGCCCAGGGTCATTCTTGCGTGTAGCCGATCTGGCCGCGCGATCGGCGGCAGGCTGGGGACTTCGAGAGGGTCAAGGAGCTCCTCGAGTCCGTGCCGGGCCTGCTGCAGGCGTTCGGGGGCCCGGCCCCAAAAGTCCTACGAGGGGGACACAGACCGATGTAACCGCCGAAGGTCCTTCTCTCGGCGGTGAGGAGGACTGATCCTGAAATTAAGTCGGGCCTTTCCCTCTACAGGGGAAAAAATTCAATAATATTTAATTATAGTCTGGGGACTATTTTTTTAGCATTTTGTTTTACAATTTTTACCTAACAGCTCTTGCTGATAGGTTTCTAGTGGTCTCAAAAGAGAGCATCATGACTCCTCAGGCGGGTCTGGGCGGGACCCGGACAAGCTGCCGCCGAAGCTGCCGCCGAAGCCGAAATCGCTTGGGACATCCTCGCAAAATCGCTCTTGGTGCTCCCAGAACTCCATTCCCGGGCCACATTTTGGATGCCCGGAGCCAACTGTAGGCCACTTCGTGCTCTTCGACTTCCCAGAAGTCCATTCCTGGGCATGATTTTGAATGCCCGGAGCCAACTGTAGGCCACTTCGTGCTCTTCGAGTTCCCAGAACTCCATTCCCGGGCCACATTTTGGATGCCCGGAGCCAACTGTAGGCCACTTCGTGATCTTCAAGTTCCCAGAAGTCCATTCCTGGGCATGATTTTTGATGCCTGGAGCCAACTGTAGGCCACTTCGTGTTCTTCTAGTTCCCAGAATTCAATTCCTGGGCCACATTTTGAATGCTGAGGCAGGCTGATGTTGCGGCCGAGGCAGGCTGAGGCTGAGGCAGGCTGAGGCTGAGGCCGAGGCTGAAGGCAGACTGAGGCTGAGGCTGAAGCAGACTGAGGCTGAGGCTGAGGCAGGCTGAGGCTGAGGCTGAAGCAGGCTGATGCTGAGGCAGGCTGAGGCTGAGGCTGAGGCTGATGCAGGCTGAGGCTGAGGCAGGCTGAGGCTGAGGCCGAGGCTGAAGGCAGACTGAGGCTGAGGCTGAAGCAGGCTGAGGCTGAGGCTGAGGCAGGCTGAGGCTGAGGCAGGCTGAGGCTGAGGCTGAGGCAGGCTGAGGCTGAGGCTGTGACTGCGACTGCCGTTGCCGCTGCGACTGTCATCGCGAATGCGACTACGACTGCGAAAGCAGCAGAATTCTACAACTGGATTTTCATCTGAATCTTAAGGGGAATGCTGTCAGATATGCTTCTACACATCGCTGTTAGGTTGCTTTGCCGGGATAATTGGAGTGTTGTTTGAAATTTTTTACCTAACAGCGAAGACTGATCGGTTTCTAATGGGGTCAGAAGAGAGCATCTGATGACTCCCGAGGGGGGTCTTGGGCGGGAGCCGGAGAGGCGAGGGACGGGCTCGTTTTAAGCAAACAGTCACACACTTCGTGTTTTTCGATCTCCCAGAACTCCATTCCCGGGACACATTTTGAATGCCCGGAGCCAACTGTTGGCCACTTCGTGCTCTTCGACTTCCCAGAACTCCATTCCCAGGCCACATTTTGGATGCCCGGAGCCAACTGTAGGCCACTTCGTGCTTCTCCATTTCCCAGAACTCCATTCCCGGGCCACACTTTGGATGCCTGGAGCCAACTGTAGGCCACTTCGCGCTCTTGGATTCCAGAACACAATTCCCGGGCCACATTTTGAATGCCCGGAGCGAACTGTAGGCCACTTCGTGCTCTTGGACTTCCCAGAACATCACTCCCGGGCCACATTTTGAATGCCCGGAGCCAACTGTACGCCACTTCGTGCTCTTCCATTTCCCAGACTTCCAAGACTCATCATCTTCATCATCATCATCATCATCGTCCCCGTAGCTTTCTTGGCTACAGCCCTGCTTGGTTTCTTGGCTACACTACAACTACTACTTCACTGTTACCACTACTACCATCACTACTACTTCTACTGCTAGTACTACTGTTACTATTACTGCTGCTGCTGCTGTTGCTGCTGCTAGTGTAGCTATTGCTACTGCAACTACTGGCAGTGCCACTGCGACTGCCGCTGATGTTGCCACTGCGACTGCCACTGCGAATCCGAATGCGACTGCGAGAACACCAGACTTCTACAACAGCACTCTTACATGAATACCACAGGCAATGTTTCCAGCTATGCTTCTACACATCGCTGTTAGGTTGCTTTGCCGGGATAATTTATTTTTCGTCGAAAATCCCCCTGTAGGAGGACAGGCCCGACTTAACCCTAAAACCTCCGTGGGGCATCAGTAGTCGTAGTCGTCGAAGTCGAAATCGTGGTCGTAGCTGTCACCGTCGTTGTTGCGCGGCGGGTGCCGCCCCTATCGGTGGGACCCCAGTCCTTGAAGACGGTGCTGGCGTTGGTGAAGGAACGTGCCCAGGAGGCTTCCTCCCCCGGAGAATTCCTTATCTGACGAGGGCGGCGGTAAAATCCATGACCAACCCACGATTAGATTTTCTTCGTCTCTCAGACCCCGGATTCCTTATCCAATGGTTCCTTCTTCAATGCCCTCACCGTAAGGCCGCCGAGAAAATAGTTGTGTACCCCCGATTGGGGTGGGCTTCTCAAGGCCTTTCGGGATCACCCTTCCTCGAACGAGGAGACCTGCGGTGCACGACCCTCGACGTCCAGAGCTCCGCGTGGACTTCTCGGATCGGCGCCAGGCCCCCGTGGCGGCGCCCCCAGCGCCGCCTGCTGGCGCGCTCCGTGTGCCAGGGATCTGGGCGTCCAGCGCCGATCCGCGAAGTCCCCGCGGAGCTCAGGGCCCGGACCCCTTCGGAGTCACGACGAGCTCACGGCGCGAAGTTGCTCGCTGTTTTCGGCTTCTGGGGGCCCTTGCCGGGCCGCGGGACAGTCAACAAGTTATTCAGGATGAAAAGCCGGTCCCGGAGAATGGGTCGAGACCCCTGGGGGTCGACTTTATGAGACAATCATCGCGTCGGGGGTCTGGGAAAGCTCATGGGCATGCAGTGAGTTCTTCTCGGATCCCGTCGTTCTCGCCCTTCTAGGGGCCTCCTGGGAGTGCCGCGTCGCCGTGGCTGGACTTGCCTCGGAATCCTGACCAGGGCACGGGGATTCTTCGCTCTGTTTCCCCAGCCCCTTGGCTCGACCGCTCGCCCGGGCTTTGTGCAGCTCTTGCCGCGAGTCCGCGGTCCCCCCCCCCTTCCTGAGAGACGCGGGCACCGGCGCCACCCCTGGCGCGGGAGGCACTCAGAGCGCTCAGCTTCGGCGTCCAGCTGAGTGAAGGGGAAGACGGGGACGGATGGCTTTGCGAGCAGTTTTTTGTTCGAAGCAGAGCAGACGTCATAGACATACTCTTTCGGAGGTCCGCGTGGAGCTCCTGAACCGGTGCTGGCCCCCGGAGTGGCGCGCGGAGCGCGCCGGGGGCGGCGGCGGGGGCGCCGCCGAGGAGGTGCAGCGCCGATCCCAGAAGTCCGCGCGGAACTCCGAAAGTGTGTGCCGATGCTGTCTGTGTTGTCCGAGTGCGCCGCCCGAGGCCCCGCCCGCCTGTGCCCTGTCTCCCTAAATTAAAGCTGTGCGTAGCCCGCCTAGCTTTCAGCGGAAGAGGTTCGCTCTCGCCCCGCCGACCACAAAACGTCTGGGTTGTCCGAGTGCAGGGAGAAATCGTGGGTAAGTGGGTTTGCGAGCGGGTGCATGTACTCCAGATTTTGTAATAAAGGGAGGGGGGTCTCATTTCGCGGGGGGGGTCTCTTCCAGGCTATCTTGGAGGGCCTGGGGGGTCTGGGGACGATGTTTTGGAGGGTTCTCCCACGGGGGAGGTCTGAAATGGCTTGCCTTGGAGGGTCCAGACCCCCTCCCCTTTTATTACGAAATCTGGAGTCACTGCTTTCCACACACACTTCGGCACCGTAAGGGTCTCCCGAGCGCCTGAGGCCAGCTGCGTCGGCCACGGGACGGGCACCCTGCGGCTCGCCGCGCCCTGGGCGGCAGGCCGGCAGAGGGTCGGCGGAGGGCGGCGGCAGCAGAAGTGAGACGAGGAAATCTCTGGATCCGGGGCGGGGTTTCAGGGCTCGTTTCGACTCCTCCGATTCGATTCGATTCGATTTTGATGGCTTCCGATTCCGATTCGATTCGACTTGGGATTCCGATTCGGATTCCGACTTCTTATGGGACGCATAGTAGCCTGCCGATTTCCGCCGATCCGACTTTTCCCGACTCGGCTGCCGATTTCCGCCGATCCGATTCATTTCGATCGCCGATCCGACTTATCGATTCGATTATGGGCTCTCCTGGGGTTTGGGGCTTCGGGCTTCGTGTTTAGTCACTAACTCAAAACAGACGCCCAATCCCAGAAGCGCGGGGGCCAAGACAGAGCGCAGACACCTCGAGACTTCGGGGAGGGAGATTTAGGGGCAGGGTTTTACCAGGGCGACGACGACGAGCGCAAAACATACCCCGAAATCTTTGGCCGATCTTCGAATCCTCGGCGAATCCGCGATTTTGGGATTGGGGATGTGTTTTTTCGTGGTCACTTAGGGTGTAGGGTTTAGGGCCCACTAGCCCAAAGTTGAAGCCAGTTGGACGCGCCCCACCCTCCCATGACCCAAGACATATCGATTTCAAAACGACGACGACGGTACCGATGACGAAGACGGCGATATTGATCTCAAGACGACGACGACGCCGACATTCGCGCAAAGTCTTCTGGGAAACCGGTGCAACGGCGACGCGGCACGCGCGCGCGATGATGCGATTTGGAGAACACCGTATATTTACGCGAGTCCCTGTGCGTCGCAGGGACGCCGCCGAGCGGCGGTGATATTGCATGGAGTGGCAGCGCAACGCGCGCGGGATAGCTCGTTGCCTCGAGGAGACGGATCCCCAGTTCGCATCATAAGCACTGCGGCGCGGTGTGCGAAGGCCGATGCAAGGGCAATGCGACGCGCGCACGCGAAGCGACGAACACGAGTAGCTTCCCGCAGCAACTTACCGACGCACTGGCGATGCATACCCCGGCTTGCCAGGACCTGCGTGAGGGGCGCGCGCTGGGATTTGCAAAAGCTCCCAAACACACAGTCCTTGGCACTCCGAGGGCACGGATCTGCGTAAGGGGTGCGCCAAAATGGGGGCGCGCACAAAGGGCGCCGTAAAGGCCGTTCCAGGCCTTTTAGGATTTAGCTATTTATAAGCTTTTAGCTTTGAGGGTTCAGGGTTTAGGGTTTAGGGTCTACAAGCTCTGCCGCAGCTGATCCCCTCCTGCCTAGGAGCCCACCTGCGGTGGTTGCCAGTCCCACCCGCAAGCCACCCTACCATAAAGAATTTTCGGAGACCTATGAGTACTTCCTTGTTAAGGAAAGTCTCATAGGTGTAGGAACGTCAGGAAATAATATGTTTCGGAAGGGATGGCGAGGGTTTACAGCACGCATGATCAGGTAATAATATCTGTTACAAGGGACGGCGAATGTTACCCTAAAATTCCGAAAGGCCTTAAATACCCAAAGGCACCAAATGATTCTAAAGACCATAAAAACCCCAAGCCTGGAATCCTCGTGCCCGTGCGGCTCTCTCTTTGGACCTGGCGCGCGCCGAAGAGCGCTTGGGAGCCCTTGGGAGCGCCTGCGAGCACTTGGAAAAGCCTGGGGGCGCCTGGGAGCGCTTGGGATCACCTGGAAGCGCCTGGGAGCGCCTGGGAGAGCCTGGGAGCACCAAGGAGTGCCTGGGAGCGCTTTGGAGCGCCTGGAACGCCTGACGGCGCCTGGGAGCGCCTGGAAACGCTTGGGAACGCCTGGGCGCCTGGGGGCGCCGGGGACACATGGGAGCGCCTGGGAACACTTGGGAGCGCTTGGGAGAGCCTGCCGGGAACGCATGGGCGCGCCTGGGAACAAGTGAGAGCGCTTGGGAGAGCCTGGGAGCGCCTGGGGGCGCTTGAGGCGTCGGAGAACGCCTGGGAGCAAATGGTAGCGCCTGCGCGCGCTTCAGAGCGCCTGAGAACGCCTGGGAGCGCCTGAGTGCTCTTGGGAGCGCCTCGGAGCGCATAGGAACGCCTGGGTGCGCCTGGAATGGCCGCGCCTGGGAGCGCTTGGGAGCGCCTGGGAACGCCTGGGGGCGCTTGGGAGCGCCTGGGAACGCTTGGGGAGCTTCGGAAGCGCCTGGGAGCGCCTGGGAAAGCCTGAGAGCGTTTCGGTGCGATTTGGAACGTTTGGGAACGCATGGGAGCGCCTGGGAACACTTGGGAGCGACTGGGCGCACCTGGGAGCGCCTGGGAGCACTTGGGAGCGCTTGGAGATGTTTGGGAGCGCCTGATCACGCCTGGGAGCGCCTGGGAGCGCTCGGGACGGCTGGGAGCGCTTGCGAAAGCTTGGGAACGCCTGGCAACGCCTGGGACCGCTTGGACGCGCCTGGAGCGCCTGGGAGCGCCTGGAGCGCTTCGGAACGCTTGCGAGCGCTTATCGCGCCAGGAGCGTACGCAAGCACTTGGCAGCGCATGGGACGGAACACCTGGAAACCCTTGGACGGGCCTGGGAGCGCTTGGGTACGCCTGGAAGCGCCTGGGAGCGTTTGGTAGCGTTTGTTAACACATGGGACCGCCCGAGAGCGCTTGGGAGCGCCAAGGAACGCTTGGAAGCGGCTGACGCGCCTGGGATAGCCTGGGAGCGCTTGGGGGCGCTTGGGAGCGCATGGGAGCGCTTGCTAGCACTGGGAACGCTTGAGATCGCCTGGAACACCTGGAAGCGCCTGGGCCCGGTTAGGAGCGCCCGGAACACCAGGAAACGTTTGGGAGCGCCTGGGAGTGCTCCTATGCGCCTGGAACTTGGGAGCGCCTGGGAGTGTTGAGGGCGCCTGAAAGGGAAGTCGTATTGTGAAACACAGAATTCTGCGACAGCGGCGCACTTGGTAAGGAAACTCTCGTAGATGTGTGAAGGCATGATCAGAAAATATTGTGTCTTGGGGGGCAAAGGATAGCAAGGGTTTGCATCCGCGGAAATGCATTTGTAATGTAAACCGCAATGGATTCTGCACGCATGATCAGGAAATAGTATTGTTTGCAAGGGATGGCAAGGGTTTGCGTCCGCGGAGGTGCATATGCAGTGTAAGTCGCAATGGATTCTGCACGCTTGATCAGGAAATCGTATTTTTGCAAGCGATGTCGCGGGTTTACATGCCGGGGCGTATGTAAGCGTATGTACCCGGTTTTGAAGGATTCACGGTTTAGTAGTTATAGGATTCAGAATTTAGGGTTTAGTCAAGGATTTTTGGGGTCGCCTAGGTGCAGACTGCGGTCTGTGGGCAACGGTGTTAAGTTCTGCAGCGCCCTCGCGGGCGCCAGCCCTGGGCCCCGGTGGGTGCGCCTGCTTACGGTCGCCACATCATCCATGTTGCCTCCCCCTCATCCAGGGTTGATTCCGATTCGATCGGTTCGATCCGATATCGATGTCGACCGGCCCCACCTCATTCCGATAACCAGGGATCTGATGCGGCCCGTTGCTTGCACGGAGCTGTTGTGTATCCCGGCGCTGCCGATCCGGTTGGATGCGCCGATGCGGCCCGGTCCGACGCACATTCCGGCGCGCTCCGTTTTGTCGATTCGATGTTGTCTCCTGCTTCCTTCGCACCTTACGCCTTTCAGCAGGGGCCTCTTCTATGACCCCACGAATACGCCCGCACGCGGTCGCCGCACCTGCCAATGACCTTCCCCTCCACGTGCTGCGCACCTCACTGGGCGGCCCCGAGACTGATCCGATGTGATTTATCGATATGATCAGATGCTTGTGCTACATGGTTTGCACTTCTTGCTGAACCTTCATACAGCTTGCACCACACAGCTTTCACCACACAGCTTGCATCACGCAGTTTGCACAACACAGGTGGTTCCACACATTTCTTTCTCCACGTTGTTTCAACCGCATTGCTTACACCACGTAGCTTTCACCACATTGGCTGCAACGCGCGTAACTTGCACTACATCGCGCGCCTCGCACAACCGACACACCCAGATTGCAAGAGCTCACTGCTAGGGGGTTCGCGATGGCATATATATATATATATATATATATATATGTATGTATATATATATGGATATATCCATATATCCATATATCCATATATCCATATATATGCCGAATTAATTATGACAATATGTCGTTGGTAAGCATCTTGCCTTCTTTGCTCTGGTGAGGAATGAAGCATCCGCGCGCGAGCTGACTCCTTCCCAGGTTCAGCCCGCGGGCCGCTGGACGGCGCTGCACCAGTTCGCATACCATGGCGACGAGGAGCCAGTCGCGCTGCCGCCGCCCTCCCCGAGCGGCCAACATTGTTTAGTATGGGCTTCTTGGGTTCAATGGATGGACACAGGGCATGCAATTGGGTTCGTCGACGTCGAAGTGTTGCTCGATTTCGCGCTTGCACGCAGACAGGTTTCGCATGGTTGCTGTCGCCTGTTCTTGCGCAGCTGCTTGCTCATAACCTGTGTTTACGTGCGTACCTGGGCGCGCACATTTGTCCGCTTGCATTCTGATTGGAGATTGTACGGCGCGATTGCCTCCACGGTTTCCCCTCTCATGGCGGCCCGGCTTGCTTCTACGCGTGCACGACCGCGTGAATGGTGCAGCTCGCACCATCAATTTCCAGAGCATGGCAAGGCTGAACCGATGCCAGAGGAAAGGGCCAGGCGCAGAAAAGGTGAATCCAGCTTAGGATAACTGCGAGCCGCTGCGGAGGCTTCCCGCGAAGACGCGACCAGACTTTCACTTCAAGGCAAGACGAGCACTGGCAGTGCACGTCAGAAGGGGGGGCGACTGGCTCAGGGAGCGGCACCGACCCCCGCTCGCCCACTCCTCGTCGATCGGCGCCCAGGTGCCCCACCCCGCCCAGGCACCCGGAGCTCCTCCACGGGGGCCCCGTGCAGGCAGCGGGGCCCCCCGCAGAGGTCCCGATCCCTGCCACGGGGGCGGGTTCTTCCGCCAGAGCCGTGTCCTGGCGGCCCCGTGGTCCTGGCGAGGGCCCGCGGAGGCCGAAAGCGGCCAGACATTTTCCGTCGTGATCTTTTCCCGCAGCTGAAGGGCATCGGTGGTATTCTCCCAAGTCAAGGTTCAGCGTGAAGGGTGCCCAGCGGTACCTTACACCGCCCCCCGGGGCGTAGTCGAAGTGCGATTCCGCGACGCGGATTCTTGTTGTTGTTTTGTTGTTGTCGTCCACCCCGCGACCCGCCTGCGACCCACGCACCCGCTGCCCACCCGCGACCGACACGTGACCCGCCCGCGACTGCCCACCCGCGACCCACCCAACTTGCTTTGAAACAAATATGCGCTTGCGGCGGGTTCATATACGCATATGTCAGCAATCGGCGTCTGCGGCGGGTTCACTCAAAGTTCATTCCGAGCCTCGAAGACTGCTTACGACCGCCACCCGCCCCCTCTCACATTTATCCGCAACTGCGGGGGCTATGGTTACAGTCGCTCGTTCTTGCCCAAGCAGTGCTTGCATGTGTTGGTTCTTACTTCTGCCCTAAGGAATTGGACCTGTCTGCTGGTCTTGCGGCTAATTATGTTGTCGCCGTCGCCGCCCCGTCGCCACTTCGTCGCCGCCCGTCGTCTGGGCCTGTCTGCCGGTCTGGTGGCCTATGCTGTCTTCGTCGCCGCCCCGTCGCCGACTCGTTGCCGCCCGTCGTCTGGTCCTGTCTGCCGGTCTGGCGGCTACGTTGTCGTTGTCGCTGCCTCGTCGCCGCCGTCGCCGCTTGGCGCCTCCATTAAATGGCACCACGTAGATTGCGCAACCTTGATTGCAACACACAGATTGCAACACATCATCTATTCTCCTTTCTAAGAAGAGAATAGACTCTACCCCCCCCCTGACTTAACGCTTCCCCCTGGGACAGTATAATTTCATATATATATATATATATATATATATATATATATATATATATATATACATACTAGAACCAGCGCGCGCGCTTCGCGCGCGCTTCGGTTCTAGTTGAGGTCACGGCCAAGTCCTGTCAAAAGTCGTCTGAACACTGTGTGTTTCCGTATTGTCATTTTGCTCATCTTCGCTCGTGTGTCGGTCCCTGTCTTTCATCCTCCTGGCTTTCCGTTTTGGATTTCGTCCTGGTCATCCGTATCTTCGCGTTTCTCATCATCCTCTTCGGCACGTCGGCCACTGGCGAAGATCGACGCAACACAAAACAATAACAATTGCGACCCGGGGCGTTTTTTCATAGCGGGTGGCCTCGGGAGGGAGGAAGAGGACGAGCAGGAGGGGAGCCAAGAGCCGGCAGCGAAGGAGAGACGACCGAGCGAGCGAGCGGGCGAAGGGGAAGGGGAGGAGAAGCGGCGACGGGAGGAAGGGCGGGGCGGACACGCAGGGGCGAAGGTCCGATGGAGGAGAGGGGGAAGGAGGGAAGAGGGAACCATTGGGCTGTCTTGGGCGCCTATTGGGCCGTCGTTGGGGCCTCTTGGGCCGTCTTGGGGCTCTCTTGGGAGCCTCTTGGACCAGCTTGGGGAGGTCTTGGGGGCCTCTTGGGCCGTCTTGGAGCGTCGGGACGACGAAAAATTGAGGAAGCCAAAAACCTTTAAAAGCCTGAAGGCAAGCAATGATTTTGGCTGTTTGGGTCCATCTTGGGAATGCTCTTGGGGCTCTCTTGAGACGTCTTTGAGGCCTCTTGGGCCATCTGGGAGCCATCTTGGGCGTCTTGGAGCGGTCTTAGGCGCGTCGAGGCACGCTTTGACCGTCTTCGACGCCTCGTGTGCCGTGTTTGCAAGCTCTTGGGCGGTCTTAGGCGCCTGTTCGGTTGTTTTTAGGCCCTCTTGGGCCGTCTTGGGGGCGCTCTTGGGGGCCTCTTGGGCGATCTTGGGACGGTCTTGGGGACTTCGTGGGCTGTCTTGGAGGGTCGGGACGACGAAAAAGCAAGAAAGCAAAACACTTGCAAACAACCAACGGAATTCAATGATTTCGGCCTCTTGCAGCCCTCTTGGGAATGCTCTTGGAGCTCGTCTTGGAGGCCTCTTGGGCCATCTGGGAGCCATCTTGGGCGTCTTGGAGCGGTCTTAGGCGCGTCGAGGCACGCTTTGACTGTCTTCGACGCCTCTTGGGCCGTGTTTGCAAGCTCTTGGGCGGTCTTAGGCGCCTATTGAGTTATTTTTAGGCCCTCTTGTGCCGTCTTGGGGCGCTCTTGGGGGCCTCTTGGGCGATCTTGGGGCGGTCGTGGGGGGGACTTCGTGGGCTGTCTTGGAGGGTCGGGACGACGAAAAAACAAGAAAGCAAAACACTTGCAAAAAACCAACGGAATTCAATGATTTCGGCCTCTTGCAGCCCTCTTGGGAATGCTCTTGGGGCTCTCTTGGGACGTCTTGGAGGCCTCTTGGGCCATCTGGGAGCCATCTTGGGCGTCTTGGATCGATCGGAAGCGTCTCGAGGCACGCTTGGACCGTCTTCGGCGCCTCTTGGGCCGGACAAGGGCGCTCCCGGAGGCCCGATCCCACCATGGGGGGTTGCGGTCCCGGCCAGGGAGCCCCTGGCCCTGTAGCCCGGTATATATACATATACATATATATATATATATATATATATATATATATTATATATATGTAGATATGTATGTATATATATATATATACATATCTTCTGCACACTCGTCCATCCTAAACATGAAATCATACCATCCCAGGCAGGCCCGTTTCCCCCCCTGAGGTTCCCTTGTAAAAAACATTATGCGGTGACATTTTTTGTTCTAACATAACACTTTTTCACGAATCCCTTGCAACAAAATGGGACCAAGTGCACACACTCGCGTCGTCGCGCGCGCATGCCGAAATCCTTCAAAAACCTTCGGTGCCGGAAGGTTTTCGCAATCGAGTTTCCAACAAACATACAAAAACACAGGGTTTCGCAACGCTGATTTGCTAAAAAGGCTTCCGCGCGAGCTCTTGCGAAATCTGACGAAAACCATGGGTCTTTCAAGATTTCCACAAAATGCTACCAAACGGGCGTCGCGCGCGCATGTCGAAATCTGTCGAACGCCCTTGCGCGTGTGCCGTCGCGAGAATCCTCTGCAAAAAATTTGACGAAGTGCAGACGCGCGCGTCGTCGCGCGCGTACGCCGAAATCCTTCAAAACCCATCGGTTTCGGAAGGATTTCAAAATCGCGCGTCCAACAAGCCTACAAAAACCCAAGGTTTCGCAACACGGATTTTCAACAAAAGCGTGCGCGCGCGCTCTTGCGTCGTCGTCGTCATCGTCCTCCCTCTTCCCTCGTCGTCGTCGTCGTCGCCGTCGTCGTCTTCTGTCTTTCCTCGTCGTCGTCATCGTCGTCGTCTTGGCGTCGTCGTCGCTTCCGTCGTC